TATATATATATATATCTAACGGCCGAGTTTTCCGCTCTCTTCTCATCTCTCCCTTTTCCCTCTCCCTGATCCCCCGTTTCAGCTTCAATCTCACCAGAATCCTCGTCTACTCCGCATTAGTAGTTACTTGATCGGTGACTCCAAGGGACTATCATCACAGCGTACCCCTCAATCGCAGATCTTTTGCCCGAGTCGCATTCGCCTGATTACCACCATCACGCACTCAGTCATTGTTTTCTCCATTGGGCATCGATACAGTTATCCTTCCTAGTCACTGGTGAGTCCTTGTTTATTTCGTTCCTTTGCCTCTGGGAAACTCAGTTCCATTTTGAATATTCTGAATTTTCCGGCTTTGCGCCCGTGAGATTTTGCGCCTGATTTTCCACCCATTGCATGACCCCATGGCGCGCCCCAGAAAGGCCATGATAATTCCCATGAGGGAGAAGGCAAGGAGTAAATAATCTCTATATTATCCCAGCCCTGTGTGCCCTTCTTCTTCCTCTTCCTCTTCCTCCTCTTTTCTTTTTTGACCAAACTTGTCTGGTTCCCCTGCATACGCCCTTGAGTACTACCTTACTATGCATGCCGTGATTCCTGCTTCTGCCCCGCCCCTCTTGGCTGCGCCGAGTCGCTGGCTGGTCGGTCGCTTTCATTCCCAGCCTGATCCTCCCCAGTCATAAACTGTCCAAATCCTCTCACGCTTTCTTTTCATCTTCCTTTGTGTTCGTGTTGATAAAAGTTTGCACCCCTCTTGTGTATCGCGTTTTCTCCTCCGCCCTTCCCATATTTCTCATCTCGGTTTTTTAGAGATATCAGATCACACCCCACGGAAACATTTTTCCACTTTTTTTCTTTTAGTCCCACATTGCCCCACTATTCCAAGCACTCTTAAGCCAGCTTCCGTGTTCGACTTGGAGAGGATTGATTTTGTTCTCTTTTAGATTTGCTCTGTCAATTCTCTAGCGCATATCCTCATGACTTACTCCCACAGAGATAGTGACTGGGACGTGGTCTCTCGCCAGTCCGAACCAAGATCCTACTCGGTGAGACGTTACGTCATCCCATCTGAAAGAGATTCCATGTATCGTCGAGACGAGCACCCAATGAGCGAGCGCGAACTTGTTATCCGGCGGCCTCATGACCGAGATAGTCGGTACGACTACGAGTATCGTAGGGAGAGAGATTACGATCGTGAGTCTACCATCCCCAATCGAATACATAGTCACCCCTATGGCTCCAGCGAGCATCCCCCTCGAGAGGAGCACCATTATCATGCACAAACTATTTTTATCAATCGAGAACACAAACCAACAATTGTTAAAGATGTATATCGCCCCTCCTCTTACGGGACCTCCCGCGATGACTTGGATTACCAGATCGTGAGTCGGTCTGAAGCGGATGAAAATTGGGCGTTGCGGAGCGCCCGTGATCATCGAGAGGACGATTTTTACTATACCCGAAGCACCAGAGAATACGACAACGGTCGCCATCACCGTGATGAGTATGATGAACGCTACTACTACGGCGACACCCCCCGCAGTTCAGGCTCTCGAAGGACCAGGAGCCGTCACGGTCGTGACTATAATAGCGAAGATGAAACTACTTATTCCCGTAGAGAGAAACACCACCATCACGATGAGAGCCCACATCACTATAAACGCCACCTTGCCGAAGGAGCACTAGTTGGAGTCGGCGCTGCTGAGTTGATGCGACGGAAATCCAAAAAGGATGGAGACAAATCTGGTGGCCTTAGCCGCATCGGTAGGGACGTGGGTGCAGGAGCTCTAGGCGTCGTAACCGCCGACGTTATCCAACGGGCTAGAAGTTACCATCGCAGCAAGAGTCGCAGACGCACCGAATCACTCGATCGTGGTCGGGATCGCAGTCGGGAGCGTCGCCACCGACACCGCAGACACCGGAGTCGCTCATCTTCGGATTCCCATGTCAAAACACTGGCAGGGCTCGGATTAGGCGCCGCGGCCATCGCCGGAGCAGTCGCACTGGCTAGGAAGAAGTCTCAGAAACAGCCAGGGAAATCAAAAAATAACTCACATGAAAGGCGAAGCCGTTCCCGTCACCGTCGTGGTTCTGGGTCGAGTTCTAATGAAGACCGAGCTGCTGCACATCGCAACAAACGAACGGCGGAAGCCGGACTCGCCGGTGCAGCAGTTGCAGGGTTGATTGAACGAGCTAGGAGCAAATCGCGATCTCGGAAAGGGGAGAAATCCCCAGGGAGAATTAGACAGGGTATTCCGATTGCCGTTGCTGGCCTTGGCAGTGCGGCGATTGCCAACCTTTATGAGAAGCACAAGGAAAAGAAAGAAAGTGAATCCTCTGAACGAAAAGAGAAAAATCACAGACGAAGGTCCAGGTCGAGAAGCATGGCGAGATCATCAACCTACCCAGATCCCTCCAGATCGTCACCACAGCTTATAGAGTATGGCGATGATCCCGTATACGGAAGTATTCCAGCGAATAACTATTATGGACGACCACCCAGCCGACAGTCTTCTTCTCCCCGCGCAATTGAAGCATCTCCTAGGAGAAGTAGTCGAAGAGCCAGCCACAGCCGTAGCCGCACCCGAAGCCACCATTACCGCGATGACGGCTCAGGAAGCGGTTCCTCCTTTTCTGATCGAGGCCACAGCCATAAGAATCGTAGTAAGAGCCGTACTAGAGACCTTGCCACCGCTGGGCTTGCCGCTGCTGGAGCAGGGCTTGCCGCTAGAGAATATACGCAAAGGAAGGAAAGGAAGAGAGCAGAGAAGGATCGCAGAAGTACGTAACACATCAACTTGATATTTAGAAATATTCCCATTATGTTATAATTATCTAGCTATTGCTTTTATGAATATTTTATTACATTTGCGAACAAAATCCTTCTCATTCCTAGGCTGTGAAAAATCCCCACATGCAAAAAAAGAATCAATAAATTAAATAAAAAATTAAAATGTACAGACGAATGCTAATAATCCACTTGAAAAACAGCATATGCCCATGACCACGACTACTCGGACTCCTATGAGGATGGATATGAACCCGCTCCGTATCCGCCATCTCCTCCGTCAAATGGTCCAAATTACTATGCGCAGGGAAGCCAATTTCCCCCTCCGCCTGGCGCAGCCCCTGTTCCACCACCAAACGTCCAGCCAGGGCCGTACAACCCGGCTGATTACCCTCCCCCTCCAGGGGCTGCACCGCAGCCGCCTTCAAACTATCCTTACCCTCCTCCTCCAGGAGTGGATGCCTATGCGCCCAGGTCAGCCAGGGGTGATGAGAATGTGAGTGCTGTACCGACGCTGAACCCCGCTCTGTCGTATGGACAGCGCCACACCTCATCAGAGGGTGGGTTGAAGTCCCACGGACCCGGTCTCGAGCTAAAACGCTAATACTGCAATTTTTTTTTTTTTTATCTCTGTTTCCAGGTCTAACGAAGACATCACCCGGACAAATACCGTCTCCGTCACTACCACCACACCTCTTAGGAAAAAGCAATAATAAACCAGATCATTACACTTTCACAACCACGCCTTCCATACCGATTCGGCGCCCTGCCGTTTTCTCCGTCAACTCACCATCGTCAGCATCACTATCAACATGGACATCAACCCCCCGACCTCCTTCGCGCAAGAAATCCAGAACCAGATCATCCAGCCAACCCGGCCGCGCGCCGCGCACCAAATCCGTCCAATTCGACCTTCGCCCAAGATACGGCACGCCTCCATATGGATCTAGGCGCGCAAGGACCCCAACGGGCGATCTGCGTGGCTATGAGACCGATGACAGCGACTCCACCGTAGATGGGCTTGATCGTTTTCGAATCCACCGGCGCGATCGGATCCCGGACCGTGCCCGACAGCACCAGCAACAGCGTCCGAGAGACCGCGATACTTCTGAGAGCGTCGAAGCAGCGTCCGACTCGACGATTGAGCTTCCTGATAGGTTTGACTCGCATGGCCGTCGGCTGCTTGAGTATAGGGTATAATCATTCAGATGGCTAATACTACCTTACGCGCCAACTTGGAAGGTTAGGAGGTGGTGGTGGTGGTGGTGGTGGTGGCGGTGAGTTATTAATTATTAGGGGCGTATTTGTTCGAGAGGAGGTTTGGTAGGTTTTTTCCTTTGGATGGTGACTCGAATAGAATATTAATGAAGATAGAAGGTGGGTGGGAAGGTATATATGAATGAATGCTGCAAACCAGCTCCTGCTTCGTAGGTAATGACGTTACGATAATTATGAGTTTTTTTTTTTTTTTTTTTTTTTTTGCTGTGACCCCTTTCATATTTTTAATGTTTTTAAAGTCATTGATGGGCGGCTATTTTTGTCTTTGTCCTTCTTCTTTTCTTTTTGCCTCCCTCAGGCTTGCCTCCGCTCTTTGAGACGCCACCTTTTATGCCCTTGAAGAAGTTTTTGTCCCTGTTACCCCCCCCCGCTCCCTCCCTTTTTTTTTTTTTTTTACAATCCTGTTTCAGATACATTGACATTCCAATTAACAGCTGCGTAGTTTAATGATATTTAAAAAAACAAAATTGAAAAAATCATACCAAAAGCAACTTACTCCCAAACATAGCAGCGGTTATGAAGCGTAGAGAGAAAACGAAGACAAGAAATTTCCCTTATAAATAATGTGGACGCCTTTTTTTATCTACCGACCGCCTCAGCAATGCGAAAAGAAGAGAAAGAAAGCGCCCAACGAGCACATCTAAAGGGGAAACAAAAAGGAAGGAGACATAAATCAAACACAAGATTGCGCCGACTAATTTTTTCAAATACACATTTTCCCCTCCAAAAGACACACTATTATGCACAGATATACAGCAGCACAAGCCTCCTAAGCAATTCCCGTACGCTAGAGGATATGTGCGACGACAAATAACAAGAAAAATGAAACGAAAGAAAAGAACACACGTGGGACAATCGTTACTCGTTACAGAGCCTCGAGAAGAGCCAGGGGGGAAAACCCCATGCAATTCAATGCAGCCAACCTATGCAACCATGCCTATACAATTCCGTACACTCGTTTGGCGATGTAGAAACAGGCAACTGCGAAGACAACGAGGCCGGCGGTGACTGTTTAATTTGGGTTGGGAAACTGTTAGCGGGTGTTTTTGGGGATGCGGAATGATATAATAATAGTAACGAGAACAATGATAAATGAACAAAGAGTGCGGTAGGTGGAGGGTTGGGTGCGTGCAAGGACTTACTGGACCAGAACCAGTATAAATTGTCAATATCCTGCCCAGGAACTTTGACGTTCATACCCCACATGCCGCAGATGATATTCATGGGGAGTACGATGGTACCAAGGACAGTAAGCTTGCCGAGTACGTCAGCGGTCTTCTCCTGCCGTTCGTTCATGCGGATGTTGATTTGTGCGAGATAGTTCGAGTGCGCCCGTGATAGCAGCCTGTATGTGTATGTAGGTTTTATTAGCCGTTTTCTGTTGGAAGCAAACTCAAGAATAAAAACAATGGAACAGAGGGTAGAAGAAGGGCAAAGGGAAAAAAAAAAAGGTTTTTAGAACAAACGTTTCATAATGGTTCAAGTTACTCGTCATAGTAACGATGTGGTCTTGAATATCGCCGAGATAAAGTCCAATTTCAGACTTAGGTGCGACCTCCCACTGCTCGTTGCACCGCTTTGCAAACCCCTTGATCACGTCCGCTTTATTTCCAAGTAATCGATAGAGGCTCATGACTTTCTTGCGGCATTCGCCAACGCGCCTGAGCATGTCCGACCCAGACGGTAAAGGCCCGTCACCACCTTCGCCGGAGTCGGTTGTCACCAATTTCTCGTTGGAGTGGAGTTGCAAAATGGTGTCGTCTATATCATCCACCTCATTCTCGACGGAGTGAATCAGAGGGCCGAAGACGTCGGTAATGTCATCGATAATTGCATAAGAAATCCAGTCGGCACTTAAAATCAAGTAATCTTTTAGTTGTCTGATTCTTCTGCGAACGTTGGCAGGATGCGGGATCATTGAAAAGTGG